TAGTCGACGGCGAAGAAAGACGCCTAAACTTATTTACGCGGTCAATAGTATGTACATTCTCCAAAGAGTTTTTGGGGAATATTGCTGAAGTGAGAGTCCTTGGCTAGGTGTAAGTCTATATTAACGCGTCTGCGTTGTGTTAAAATGAAACTTTTAAAGGTATCATTTTTCGGTATGAATATAACCATTAATAATAACGGGTGATTTTTTAAGAGCTTGATACCTTTTTTTTTAAAAAAAACGCATAAAATTTGCAAAATCTCATCGGTTCTTTATTTGAAACGTTAGATTGGTCCATGACATTTACTTTTTGAAGATAATTTCATTTAAATGTTGACCGCGGCTGCGTCTTAGGTGGTCCATTCGGAAAGTCCAATTTTGGGCAACTTTTTCGAGCATTTCGGCCGGAATAGCCCGAATTTCTTCGGAAATGTTGTCTTCCAAAGCTGGAATAGTTGCTGGCTTATTTCTGTAGACTTTAGACTTGACGTAGCCCCACAAAAAATAGTCTAAAGGCGTCAAATCGCATGATTTTGCTTATTTACGAAGCCATTCAACCAGAAATGAGCCTCATCGCTGAACAAAATTTGTCGATAAAAAAGCGGATTTTCTGCCAACTTTTCACACATTCAACACATTTCGAACCGAACACTGATTTTGGTAATAAAATTCAATGATTTGCAAGCGTTGCTCGTTAGTAAGTCTATTCATGATGAAATGTTAAAGCATACTGAGCATCTTTCTCTTTGACACCATGTCTGAAATCCCACGTGATCTGTCAAATACTAATGCATGAAAATCCTAACCTCAAAAAAATCACCCGTTATAAAAAGTGTTTTGAAAAATACTAGATTTGTATTTTGGTTATTAATTTGATACGAAAAAACACAAGTTTTACCCTTCACAATATCAAATTGAGACCTGTATAGTTTTTTTGGTTCTCTTTGGTTTTAATGTAACAACGAAAAATATTTCAATGTAAGAACGAAAAATATCATTTAAATAAGATGATTTATGAGGAGAAATAGATACTCGAAAGTTTCACGTTGATGGCTAAATAGCATCGTCCTGATGACAACTTTTTTTTGAGGGTGGAGAATGTAATTAATTTTTATGTTAAGTACATGTAAATAGCAAATAAGAAATTTTGATTAATTTGTTCGGATTTTGAGGGTTTTTCATTTGTTTTTGAGGAATTTAATAATATTTTTGTGGCAACACTGAAGTTAAGGTAGGCAATGGCAAACCTCCGAGTGTATTTCTGCCGTGAAAAACAGCTTCTCATAAAAATACAACCGCCGTTCGGAGTCGGCGTAAAACTGTAGGTTCCCTCCACTTTATGTGACAACATCAAGGCGCACGCCACAATTCGTAGGAGAAGCTCGGCCAAACACCAACGTATGTGTAAGCGCCAATCCATTATAAGACTCTAAAAGGAAAGCCAACTACTCTATTTAAGATAAGTTAGCTATTCGAGTTTCTCATCCACAAGCTAGTAACTATGAATTGCATTACTTATTTGCTATCTTTCCTATCAATTTTTAAGTATGGTGAGTAAACTACCCGAATTTTGTAAACAATTTTTAATGCCTTACATACCCTGCCGGTTCCTGTTTGCCATTAAGAATAAGTTGGGAAAACGGCAAGAAATGTGAAAATGAAATTAAAAGTTTGCGACGTTTGAATCTTATTTTGCAATGCAAACACGATAAAATGAATCGAGCAAGCGTAGTGGGCTACGTCAAACATTCGGCCCGTCCGCTCACCCAGAAGCATGCAAATATTTTAGTGCTGCCGGAGCTACTCAAACGCACCATGAATATTGTGCTGTAATTAAGATCATATTTCCGTCGTCTTTTCTCCGCCACCACCGTCTCTCCAATCCTCCCCTTCCACACCGCTCCATCCCGCTTTCTTTCGGCTACGCTTAAGTTATTGTGATTTTTTGAGTCGTCGCTGCTAAACCGTTTGCAAAACTTTTAATTGGAAAGCGGGTTGATTACGAAAATAAAGCGGCAGGAGCCGACGCGCCGGCGAACATAATTTTAGGCAAGAAAACATTTATTACCGCTCAAAGCACACACACTCTGATATGTACTATTTATTCCCTCGACTTGTTCTTGTTTACCTTTAAAGAATGCAACCCCAAATAAAATCTCAACAGAGGAGTTTGCCTAAAAGAATCTTTTGTGAGTTTAGTAGAATGGGGTCCCTCACTCAAGATAAGCCTTCAATTTGCATGAGCGCAGGTACCAATGCGTGAATAGTGAAAAACTTTCTTTTGAACTCACAGCCCCCCCCCCCACACACACACACTTGCAAAATCTCAAATGCTTTCGCTGGTGGATGGCAGGCAGACAAACGCTTAATTACTCCGACTGAACTTTTCACTTTGGGTGTAAAGCGTGTAAAGGCCGCTGTTGCACTAATGCAATTTTCTTTTCTGACGCAAAGCACTGAATTATAATTAAAAGAGCAAATTGCACAGCTCTGAAACTAAAACGAAAACTGGCCGCGCGATTGAGGGCTGCACAAAGCGGCGAGAGGAGCCAAAAGGATTAAATAATAAAAATGCAAGAAAGCACCTTTTAAATGGTGGTTGCGAATATTGCCATGCCGGGGAAGCTGTAAAGTGTGTTGCCAGCATGGCACTGAATGTGCATCAAAGCATGCCGCACACCAAATTCCTGAAAACTGAAATCTTTTTGCATGTTTGCAAGAAAAAACATAAGCGCTGGTGCGCTTTGCAGTCGTCGTCGTGGTGCAATCGGATGTGTGTGTGCGTGCGCGAGTGTGCATGTTGTGTGTGCAAGGGTCTATGTGCGGGCGGCATGCAGCCTTTGTGTATTCCGGATTTGGGTCAGTGTGGCGCGCGCAGTCAGGGAAATTGATACTGTAAATATACTGACTGACGTCGGCGACCAACCCAGTACAGTCACATACACACACGCGCACCCACACGCACGCACATGCAGTGGACCGACTATTTTTCGTGTGTGTTTGTTTTTTACGATCTAACCAAAGTGTGTAAGCGAGTTTACTTCTCAACTTCCGACAGTCGCTCATTTCATTTCTTCTCAAGTCCATCTTTCACTGTTCTGCATTCTTCTGGCGTAGCTGGCTGGTTGTTTTTTAGCAATAAGTTCACTCGTAAATTGTGGCCAAGTTTATGTGAAAAGGATAAAAGATAAAGCATAAGAGCCAAATAACATTCGCATTTCAGTTTTTGCGCTGCAGATGTTCATAAATACGACGCTGGCTGTTTTTTGTTAGCTGCTGGCTGCTGGCTGGTTGCTGGTTGTTTGGTTGTTTGTTTGCCTGGTGGCCGGTGTGGCTTTCTCGGTTGCAAGTTTGTTGCATTTAACATGAATTCGTAAATGATGTGGAAAATCCCCCCTTTCAGTGATATTAAAAATACACTTATACATATATATATATATACATATGTACATGTGTACTTGGGTAAACGGTACCCGCAATACGTACTTTCAGTGGCGAGTTACACTTTCGCATTAGCAACTTGATCCTTTTGAATTACTTTTCGGAAGGTTACGACATTTCCACTAAAGGATCATTTTACGAATACACTGGAAAAAAATGATTTATTACTAAACGGCATACTCGATGCTCAGAGACTTCATTATTTAATTATTAAATTTTTGTGAAAATTGCAGATTGCCACTTTTTCATCGCCACATTAACTGTCTGACAATTAAGCAGATTCTGTCATTTCATGCTTCCATAAAAAATGGCCAAAATACTTGAAATTTTATTACTCATTTTTATTTCATTTAAAATCTTCTTGCACTTACGTAGAATCGAAATTTGTTTTTAAAGAGATGAAGACCGATGCTATTATACTAATTTAAGTTAATAACTTCCATTCTAGCCTGAATCCTAACAACAAATCATTAATTTTTTCCAGACCCTCTCCAGTTGTAAAAATATACCAAAAGTAGGGAGTATTTACTTCGGAGTCATGAGGTCCATGCGTCCCAAAGTAAGTTCCACCTCAAGTTTCTCCAACGACATGTGGGTAAAAGAACAGATCTAATGTGTATTTAATTACGCGTCAAAATGTGTAATTTCAGTATCTGAATTACATAACTCAAAAACAAACATGTCCGATGAAACTGCAACAGCTCTGGTTTCTATGGACTCCTATCGCAAAATCGGGCAGATGGCATGAAAGTTTTTTAAATACAGTGGCGTAAGTATAAATAGAGAAGAGACATTTTGGCATTTTTTGGTTTTTCCCTTATGTAACAAAAACCATGTAAGTCCATATTTCAAACTTTGTACAAAAATTAGGAAAATTCGACAAAGTCTTAACAAAATGTTGAGCTTTTTAATCAGATTTCTTAGAAACATTTTGAGTATGCAGTTTTTAAGCCCATTCAATTTTAGCGAATAATAAAGTGCAGTTTGAAGTAGCTTAGACTTATTGTTGCTTTTTTGCTTACGGTGGCGAAAATATAAATAGGGAAAAGACAACTTTTTTAATAAAAAACTTCAGTTTTTAGGAATGGTTAGCGAATTTAATAAAAAAGATAGGAATTTTAAGGGAAACTACTACTAGTTCGTTTTAAAAATATGTATATACTATATAATTACTTTATGTAACAATGTGCATATTCAAAACATTTAAATTGTGTAAAGCTAGTAACACATTCGAAACGACGCGACGTTTTAAGACTTTATATTATGTAGATAATTATTTTGGCGACGACACGGCAACACCGCGACTAACTGTGGCCATATGATCAGAAAAATATTACGACCATCTAATACGCAACTGTTCAGTTGATCAGAAGTACAAAACAACGCGTTCAGAAGGTGCAATCGCAACAGTTACTGAGCTGTTGCGCCTTCTGAATGTGCCCATTGAAAAACCGGCAAAAACGATTTTTTAATCAAAACTTTGTTTATATCAAACTCTTCTTTGTATCATGATGCTTCCCAGTATACTTTCATCTGGAAATACTTTTGAACAGACTTACATTGCACGGCAGATAGGCATGTGTGCCCGCCTGGCTGATCACCGTCTGGTAGTCGTCTATGGATGGCGTTGGCCTTGGTGTGGTGGTTGGTGGCGGGCGTCTGGTAGTCGATTTCACTATATTGGTTGTCACTGTAGGAAATGGAGAAGCGGTTGTAGTGCCGTTCATAGGCTCGCGCTCGCCTAATGCCCCAGATGCTGCTCCAGTCAACGCTTTCGATCCAGACTTTGACGTCACTGTTGTCAATGAAACGCCGTTAACACTGAGCGTAGAGGGGAGCTCCAGCGACTGGGTACTTTTTCTATTTTTCATCAGCGTTGATTTGTTCGTATTCGCCGGCGTTTGTTTATAATGAATGGCGTTGCTAATCAAATTGCTATCATTTGCTGCGGCGATGGCTGATGTCGTTGACGACGTTGCCGGTGTTGATATTATTGCTGAAAAGGGTGGCTGTTGTTGCACTTGACGAGCGTATTGTTGACGTAGCTGCCGCAGTGGTTGTTGTTGCTGCATCATGAGTATATTGCTGGCAGCATTTTGGTGACTACTAAAGTAATTGTTATTGCTGTTGTATAGGAAATTATTGCTGTTATTACTGCTATCGCTATCGCCGTCGGTGTCGCTGTCGGTGTCGCTGTCGGTGTCGGTGTGGTTGTCGCCTTTCTGTATCTTTGGACGCTGTAGAGGGTGGGTTTGTTGCTGCTGCATTGGCCATCGTTGTGTATTTTCACTACTAATGTGTTTAGTGCCGGCACTGACGTCAGGGTTGTTATTGTCCTTGCCACCTCGGGCTTCAATCAGCATTTTGTTGTAGTCGTAATTGTAATTGTGTTTGCTGTTATGTGTGTCCACCTGACTGTAGGCACGCACACTGCCTGAGGCGTTTTGATATTTCTGCTGTTTTGAACTTTCGTCGCTTATCGTTCTTATCGGAAACAATGTTGCAACCAGTTGCGAAGCGGCTGCTGCCGACAGCGATTCTATTGTTGTCGCTCTGCTTATCGTTGAAGCCAAGTTCGCCTCAGTTTTTGAAATTGGTGCTATTCTTGTGGTCACTACTGCAACGGGTGTCACAGCAGTTGTTGACTCGGCAACCATTGGGTCACCTTGGCTTCCGCCATTTTCACGTCTTTCACCTCTCTCACCAGCGGCTTGCTGGCCATTCTCCTTATCAACAGTTACTAAGCGACTTAATGATACCTTTGTTCGCTTTGTTGTCACATCAACTTTTCTTGTTGACTGCGTTGAACTTCCGCTGAATGCTTTACCTGCTGTTGCTGATGTCACTGTGGCTTCTTTCAATTCAGATTGTGACGCCTTTTCAAGTGTTTTTGTAATTTGCGTAGTAGAAATTTCTGTAGCAAAGTTGTAATCGGCAATGGCTATAGCCACTTCTGCCTCTCCGACAGCGTTTTTTCCACTACTTTGAGTAACGGCTCCGTCCTTCTGCCCTACGTCCTTTGTTGACGCTGTTATTGATGACTTTGCCTTAACCTCGGCCTCCAGCCCACCCCCTGTAGATGAACTAATGGAATGAGCCCGAAGAACTGTACCCGCTTTATGCGAATTCGCTATCGATAAAAATTCTTGACTCGTTGTACTCCACCTCAAAGTGTTAGTTCTATTTTCTGTTGAAAATGCTTTTGCGGCTGCTGCCACTTCTGTTGCTGACGCCGTTGGCATTGGAATGCTCGCCGCCATTGTCGTTGTCGTCGTCGCTGCTGTGCTTTCGATGGCATTTAACGTCGAACCTATGACAAGATAAAAGTGAATATAAATTAATTGTAGTCCTTCTCTTAGGGCAATTGAATGAGTAGAATTAAGTAGCTGTCATTCCTCCCCACCCATCCGAGCATCTAGGCAGCATACTTAGTTACAGTTCTTAATAGGAGCTAGGAATGACAAGCCATTTGGCTGATTAAAGTCAGCGCTGGAGTGAAAATAAAAGAGATATATGTACATTAGGGTGACCCTCATTTCTAAAAGAAATTTATGAATGCCCTAAAGACTAAACTACGCAAAGTTCAGGTCAATCAAAAAAGATCTAGAGGCGACCAAAAGCGCTCAAAGTTTCCCTTGTATTTCATATGGGGGAAAAACTATTTTTCGTAGAAATGGTATAGAATCCTCGAAAATCAATATTTTTCAATCGGCAAACGGTTTTCCTCTTCAGGAGACTTCCCGAAAAATATCCAACTGTTTATTTAATTGGATAACATTTTTGAGGTCTCCTTAAGAGAAACATAGTGTGCGGATTGAAAAATATTGATTTTCGAGGATTCTATAGCATTAATATGAAAAATAATTTTTTCCCCATATAAAATACATCAGAAACTTTGAGAGCTTTGCGCCACCTCTAAATCTTTTTTGAATGGCCTAAAACTTTGCATAACTAGTTTAGTCTTTAGGCTATTCATACATTTCTAGGAGGTGAGGGCGAGAATCCTTACATTTTTCTTTTTCTCAATATAACTAGCAGCCACCCTAATGTATATATATTTACATATTAAATAACAAATATTTATATTTACAAAAAACATTTCCGCCGAGTTTCTAATTATTACACTGTGGAACACAAAAAACTTAGAGCCCTCATATATCAGGTTCGATAGCTGTTGGCCATACAAACAATGCCTCATACTCAGTTTTATTAGATCAATTCGTGTTCTTGAAAAAAAAATCATTATCCAAAAATCTGAATATAGCGGCCAAATTTTTTCTTCAAAATTTTAAAATTTATCGTGTATATTTCAGTTTCATGTTATTTTCAACAAATGTAGACCAAAAAAAAACATAAATTTCCAAAATTTGGAGATAAAAATTTGGCCGCTATACTCAGTTTCATGGATCCTGAAAACTTATTTTCTCGAGAGCACAAATTGCTCTCTGACGGCGCCAAATAATTTTTTATCTAAAATGGAGGTAGGATGCACCAAAATGCTCACAACTAAATTCTTAAACGATGCAGTAAAACTTCGTTGATGCGAACCAATTAAAGTAGTAATTCAATCCAGACTACCCATGTATCCAGATAACCAATGGCATTAAAATTATTAATCATTAAATGCTGGATGTACCAACGCCATAATATCTGCCAAGGATTTTTTCACTAAAACCATAACTCAACTGAATTAAAATGTTGTCTTAAGTGCCATTCGGACGATTCAAAAAAAAATATCGAATCTAAACCACAAATTTTATGTACTCGTATGTTCAAAAACCACATGTTAACACCTCTCATTTAAGGCCAAATATGTACAATTATATTGATCCCGCTGCAGCAGCTTCAATTCAGCAAACAATTTCATAAAGAATTTGGCACACATAAAAACAAAAATTCTAATGAATTTTGAAAAATCGAGCCCACGAGTTTTTACACACCAATTGAATTAAAAACCTTAACAATAACATATCCTGGATACAGTCATTGCAATTTGTACACCTCTCGCGATCCTCATAAACCATAATAACCATAAAACTAATTTACTTTGGAAAGCTTTTTAAGGACTTTTTTAAGGTTGGGATCCGGGTGACAAGAGAAAACC